AATTTGAAAATGTGTCGAAAAATGTAAAACAGACATACTTGAGGAAAAGAATCCACGATTCGTCCTCACTGGTTTCGGTGACTCCTTCTCTTTCTTTGGTTCTCTGACTTGAGAGAATTTCGCTTTGTTATTCACGTTTACGGGTCCTGAAATTGTCAAGAAGGAATGAGTAATCATAAATTGCATAAAAAATGATACACGGACAAAAGCCTTATTATTCTTGTACGAGAAATATGCAAAAAATTACGACACTCGACTGAAAGGTGATTACAAAAATCTCGCTTACCGCTGGAAAAGAATACAAAGCAGATTACGTCATTGTAAGTACATAATCTGGCCCTTAATTGGGGCTAGAGTATCCGCCAATTCTCACATTTCGTTGCTTACCAATTATGGGAATCAAAAGCCCATGCCAAATACTTCGACGACAAAATTTCAAAAAAAGGATTTTGTCAAACGAGCTATCTAAAACGAGCGAGCTTATGATAAGATCTTGAGGCGATCTTGAGCAGGTGAATATCGGTCGAGGATTCCTCAACGGTTCGTCGAGGATTTTCGCCTGATCAGTTACGCTCTCCCGCGCGGACATTCACACTCGCCATGCGCGAGCCGTCTGTGCTCTCCGCGCGTACGTTCACTCTCGGCACTACTCTCGCACAGTACAGAGCCATGGTCGAGGAATTCCTCGACCGTTATTCCACTCTGGTCTAGAGTCCGGGAAAAGTGGATCGTGAGAACGTGGCCTCAAACGCTCGGTTACCAGTGAGTTTACTTTGAAAGACTCTCCTCCAAAGCGGCTAGGAGAACAAATAAAATTAAAGGCCCTTATCGTTAGCCCAGGGGAAGACATCATTTCGCTCCACACCAATGAAAAAGGAAGAACGCGGTTGAGACGTTGGCCAAGTGCCAGAAATGACGCAAACGCAATGCCGTTTGACATGGAAATGGTTCGCAAAAAAACATTGACCGACACCGTGAAAAATTGTTGCTCGCAAAAAACCATAAATGATTCATAGATTCGCCACACGGCGAGCGCCATTTCTTTGAAAAACAAATCGGCTTTACAAGCTTTTCATTTTTCCGAAAAGGACAAATAGAGGGGCTGCCAGATCATCTCCCAATGAATAGGCACTTTCTTTATAGCCAAATACAAAAATCACCAAATCTCCTGCTCAGATGGGTAACTAACAACAACTAGCTACGACAATGACTTGAGTTATTCTCGGACGGAGCGAAGCCAGACCACTACTCGTCGAAGGCACAACCCACACCCGCAAGACTCGATCTAGCTTAGGCATATTGACTCTTGACGCTATTTACGGGAGTGACGAGTCATTTTACTGCGCTGCCACAACGGGTTGCGGATTAGGTTTATACGTACATCAAAATACATTGAACAATGCTGATAAACCGCCAATAAAGACGCACGGGTACAACACAAATTCTGAAAAGTTGTTGCAAAACGAACTTAAAGACATAGCATGACTTCACGTGGTGCCCTGTCAGTTATATCAAGCTAGGTATCATTAGGGAGATCTTTGAAACTCGTGACAAGGTTCATTCACTGGAGACACATCCAACAAATCGCTCTCCGCATGTGTTATTATTATTAATGCCTCCCCCGAAGTCTCAAAGGTTTTTAAACTTCATTGGTTTTGCAGAAATCACAGAAATCTTGAGCATTCGAAAGGAATGTAAAACTATCTTTTCTTACGCGGTTCTAGTTTAAAAACAACTTCACTAAAAAATGGACTCAGCAAATTTCACTAAATTCACACTATTTGCGGTGCCAGAAATGAAAAGGAATACTTGACGTCAACAATCACGCCGGTTAGAGGGTGAATCCGCGTGCTGCCCAGATTGGTGAATAGGTGCCTGCGGGCCAACAACAGCGCGCAGGAAGTGAACCAACGATCACCCGTCAAAGACGGCAGTTGGGGTCAGTATGAGCCAAATGGCCGATGTCAGACTTTGCGATTGGAGCGATTTTGCACCAATTGCAGGAGCGACGGATCGCTTGAGCGATGCGAGCGACGGGAGATTTACGAACTGATGGCGCCGAATTATCGGTGGTCGGCGGTGTAAATCTCCCGTCGCTCGCATCGCTCAAGCGATCCGTCGCTCCTGCAATTGGTGCAAAATCGCTCCAATCGCAAAGTCTGACATCGGCCAATGCCGAAGATTCCTCATATAGGGAGCGCATCCGACTTCCTCGGGAAGGAGAGATCGTTTCGGGTGGAAGTGGCAGTAAGATGTCGGGAAACTCTATCTACAACTTAATGTCTATGTCAAGTTACAAATTTTCAATTAATATAAAAATATTAGTAAGTTAGTGGAAGGAATACTTCGTCACTAAATTTCTATCTAATTGTGTTAGTGGAACAAGTACAAACGCCCACCTTTTACACTTTATATTTTTACATGTTTAATCAACTTATTTTCCATTCATTTAGTCAATATACAATTCATTTCATTGCATGCTCCTCTGCATGAAAGTACGTCACATCAAGGTTTATTCGTCTTTCCCCTGTGTCTTTATTTCGCCAATCCCAACTCACTGATGAGCTCCGGGGATTGACGAAATAATAAGGTTCGTCTGAGGAAGGAGCGAAACGAACCGTATCAATTATTTTGTTTATAAAGGTTTTTCTTTCTTAATTAGGTTTTTTTTCGAAGCGATCTGATTTTTTGGGTTTACTAGCCATTTATTTGTTTGTTTGTTTATTTCTCATGCGAATGACTGTTGTTGGCACTAAAGCAAAGCAAAAATGCACTAATTCGTTAAGCAAATTGTAATGAATACCACCTCCCTGCTCAACTCAACTGTAGTTTCCTGAGGCACGAGGTAAGCGCTAGCAGACTAGGACGCGGCAAGATGGGAGTAGGGCCTGTCCGACCCCGCCGAATTTGCTCATATGGCACAAATTGGTCGCGCATATGCTACTTCGCTAGCCAGCTGTTTTGCTGCCTTTGAGCTTCACTTATGTAGTGCGCTGCACTGGTCACGAAGCAAAAACTCAACAATATGAATAGTACCAGCTATCAATAGATCACACCAAACCACTGTTGCTGGACCTGCACCTTCAAAAAAAAATTTCCTATTGATTTCATTATTCCAACCGTTATCAGGGAGAAAAAGTATCTTGCTTTCGAACTGCTTGTTGCATACAAGGCAAAAAAGCATTCCGAAGAAGGTTTGCACGAGCTCGGTCATCACACAACAGCTTTGCCAATAAACAATTGATAACTGTTGATAACAAACGCCAAGCAATGGGCGGGGATCTCGAGCAATGCAAACCATACGCTTTCAGTGTTGTGATGACTGGAATCCTAGGTCAGATAGTACGAGCAATTGCGCGTTTCAGGCTGATCAGAGAAAATAAAGGACGTCTTATTTCAAACTCTGCACTATCTTACTCACACTTGATATCAATATCTTGATCTTTATATAAAAGCTCTACGCGTCGCTTCTAATGCATAGCTGTCAAAACATCGTAGTGGCGTTTTGCCAACATTTCTCGATCTCTGTCGCTTACGAATCTGTTACACTCATCCCGAGAATTCGCTGAATGCCTACCTCATCGGACAACTCAGCTAAACATTCTCTAAGGAGGAATATTGTATGGAAGAAAGTTTGATTTGCCACTGCAAGTTTGGAAATATATAAATAAATAGATAAATAGTGAGTTTTCGATTATTTTCGGGGCTAGAAAAGTGCCACGAAACAATCAAATTCTAAGAAAACAATATCAGTGATCAAATAAGCCACCCAAATCGCTCAGAAAGAAGTACATGAGAAAATCAGGTAGCTGAAAACGAAAAAAAAAGATTGAATGGTTAGGAAAAGGAAGTGTCAGAGCTCAACAAAAAGGAGAAGTTTCAGAATGGCCCACCATAGAAAAAGGCAACAACTGTAACGTTTACGCCTCGAAAATGTGTTCTCGTGATTCCAAATCCTATGACGAGAGAGGGCGACATCATGAGCGCTGTGCCTTATGCTTCGGCGTGAAAACGTCAGAGATTAAAATGCCCGACAAAAAAGCGTTCTATAAGTGGAAAAAAACGAGAAGAAGATTCGGAATTGAAGACATCTTTCGCCACAAATCCGATCCTGATGTCAGACTAGCATAGTAAGCGCTCGTAAAAAGGGCACGCTTCACGAGACTCCTCATTGAACGGCTCATGCGATGTCCTCGGAGACGCTATCGATTTTAGCAGCAAAAATTGCGTGCCGGGATAGACGGCAGCTCTTATAAATCATTAGTGACACATTTCCTCTTGCAATTGGAATTATGTGAAGGGAAGCACACATTAGAGATTTTTAAGATGCAGGTTCAAATAACGTCAGCTTCAAAAATATTTCAGTGGTCGTAAGAAGATTTTTCCACAAAATCAATAAAATACCGACGTGGGAAACCACATATCACAAAAGTTGATTACCGAAATTCAAACGTAAAGGATAGAACCTACCGTTATTCTTTGCTGCCTGATGTGCTGCATCTTCTTTCTTATTGTGATGTTTCTTTTTGTTCTATGCGTCGTCGGGTTCGTGCCTCATTTCACTTCCTGTATCTTCTCGTGCACTTTTTGCTGCGTCAACATCTGAGATATAATTATTATTGAATCACGCAAATACTAAAACTATGCAGTAACTCCCGAACACGGCATGCAATATGCGAATGGCGGAACGCGAGGAAGCAAAGAGGCAATAAGTAGGGCTACTTTCTACGCCCCAGAAATCAATAAGAATACCCCGTTCGCTTCCTTTAGCATACGGATGGTGTGCTGTCGGAAGATACCAGGAACAGATCAAGCACTAGAAGCAAACACAAAGAAAGGCAACGCAAGAGGCGGAAGTAATATGCAAAAGACGGAATTTGCTCTGCAAACCTGGATATTATGAACTTTTTGTAACTCTTTCATGTACGAAACCACATTCAGAGCAGCTTGTCGGCACTCTTTTTCACTTCCACAGTTACCTGTGACCTGAAACGCTTGATGTAATGACTACAGTACCAGTCATACTGTACCAAGCGGAGTGCTGCGATGCATATGCTACCTTGAGTAGCTCAGGGTTCAAAGGATTTCTCTTCAAATCCAACCATCGCAATGCGTTCAGATTAGAGAACGATAGTGGCAGCTCCTGAAACACAAACATATTTATTTTGTAACCAGTGTCATGCACATGATTTTAGCACACTGACGACAGCGTGATGTGCATGCGCTACACATTTTCACTTAGATTGAGGCCTTACTCTTTCCCGATTCATTCGATATTTTTCATGACTCAATATTCTACATATGAATTATCGGATAGGCAAAACAATATATCAACTGAAGCAGCAGCATTTCTGAAAGGGTAATGACAAATCTGCGAAAATGCAAAGACGCAGAGATATAAGAAGTGGCTGTAGCCCAGTGTGTTAAACTTATAAAAAACCTATACTTGACCACAGAAATTATGATTTGAAAGCCGACAAAGGTTTTGCTTAGAGTTAGCAGATATCTTATAGCGAAAGCCGGCTCTCACGCACATCTCTCCGGAGGGGATAGGGGTCGTACCCGCTTCAGTCGCCCTTGACTTCAATGTGGATTTGAAAGGTGAAACTGGTTTTCATGGGTAGGTAGGCTGGGTGAGTTGAAGGGCACAGGAAAAAAATATGCCGTTTCTGCGCGTATCCCGCTCGACGGCATTTGCATTTTTGGAGGAAAAAGTGGGCGGAGTTTGGTGGGTTGAGTGGTATCAGAATGAAATACATTAGAAGCAGGGTGAATAACGGTCGAGGATTTCCTCGACCATAGCTCTCTACCATGTGAGAGTAGTGCCGAGAGTGAACATCCGCGCGGAGAGCACAGACGGCACGCCCATGGCGAGTGTGAATGTCCGCGCGAGAGATCGTGTCTGACCGGGCAGAGAATCCTCGACGTGCCGTTGAGGAATCCTCAAGCGATATTCACCCTGCCTACTAGAACGGATGAAGGTAGTCGAGGTGTGGAAAGGGGGGTCGTATCAAATCCACCTTGGGGGAGGGGGTCGTA